AGCAGCAGCAGCAGCAGCAGCAGCAGCAGCAGCAGCAGCAGCAGCAGAAAATGCAGCCCAGGCATTCTTCTTTCTAGATCAGAAATCAAGATTGGGCAGAAGCAGAATTACAGGCATTGTTTTAAACTTAACAGACCATTAACACAATAAACACAGGGCATGCCACTGGATGCTTCAAAACAAATATACTTCCTTTTACCTGTTTGGGCTGTGACCAAGGAGAAAATTAGGGAGTGCTGAGTCTCTTCAAACCCAGGGGTTAGCTCTTTGCAAGACAAGGGAAGGTAGCCTTGTCTGCCCCCAGCTTCAGAACTCCAAGCATATATTTAAAGCAGGTTTTATCTTGAAAGACTGTTGTGGCTTGAAATCCACAAGGGATATGTTAACAACTACTGTTCTTCCGATAATTGCAAGGAAAAGTAATATTCCCACCCATTTAACATTCCATTTTGTTTGTGCATCAGAAAGAGAAAAATATGTTTGCGTCTTTAACTTTGAATCAAAGTTAAGTTTAGTAATTGACCTATATGAAAGTGAACACTTGCACACCAAGTACAGCTTCTTCCGGAAATATCCTTCTGGAAGGATATGGCGGCGCAGTCGGTTGCTGAGGCTTTTCGCTCTCTGGTTTGGTGTGTGTGTTTCGTGATATATGTGTCTGAGTCTTGTTGCATGGGGGAGGTTTTCAAGCCGACAAGATTATTTTAATTATTTTAATTTTTAAATACTCTGTAGTGTGATTGTGATGTGGTGTTTGGGGCACTGTGCTGGAGTAGCTTTCAAATTTCATTGTATTTGTGGAATGCAATGATGATAAAGGTATTTTATTCTATTCTAAGGAGAAATTTCTCAACAGGGACAAGAATCACTAATGGAACAAAATTTGCCTTTGGAAGTTGAGGGAGCTTTCAAGAAGAGACTGGATTGCCATTTCTCAGAAATGATGTAGGATCTCTTACTTGGGTCAGTGGTTGGACTACAAGGTCCCTTCCAACTCTGTTATTCTGTTTAATGAAGAGACCTAGGAGACTGGATGATTCTTTGCTATTTATGGGCTTGGTTATTTATGGAGAAAAGCACCAAGGCTCCTGAACTGCACCAGGAGATTGCAAACATCACTGGAATAGATTTTCTGAAAGGAGTCTCCAAATCTACAACAAAGTAGACAATCTTCTTCCACGTTCTCCTCCAGGTGAAACAAAAGGTTGATTTGATAGAGTTGCTGCTGTCAAAGAATAGGGTGGGTGAGTCATGGTTTATTTATATTGTGGATTTTTAATATTGCAAGCTGTCTGTGTGGAAGAACTGTGTGTAAATTCGGCAACCATGTACATTTGTTCAATACATAAATAACACCTTTCTAAAACTGGCATCAGGAATTGCTCAGTGTGGAATTGTATCTCTCTAAAGTCAGAATATTTTCTCAGTGGCAAATTTCCCCCAATAATGAAATCACTAGGTTTGTAGTAGTCCTCCACAATCTGCAAAGGATCTTTAAGTATGTATACACTTGGCATTATTTCCTGAGTCATTGAAGGCAGGATCCAAAGAAGAAGCAGAAGTAGAGTCATCCTATTAATTATTCTCACCTTCCTTCTAAGATAAAAAATTGATGAACATTCAAAATTTGAATTGTGTTTGGTTCCCCCCAGGAAATCTCACCAGGGCTTTAGCACAGAGGAAATAACTTGGGTGGCTTTAGGGCAAATACAACTATATCAACTATACTTTTTCTTACTAGCATTTGAGTTGTCACTGAAGAGAAAAGTGACATGAGTGAAGTTTTATTGATTGCAAGGAATTGCCTCTTTGTAACATAAGCTAAGGTGGCATGTCCACACACACATCTTTGGGAAAGCCCAGAGCTTGTTTCTTTCAAGCAGGTTTTACCTTGGAAAAGTTTTGTGGGTAGAAATCCATAGGGGATACATTAAGAATGAATGACTGGTTTTCTGATAATTGCAAGGAAGTCTAACATCATACTGACCGCTTAGCAATAGCTTATCATATACCAGAAGGGGAAAAACATGTTTGTGTGTCTCGACAGGTGGATTTGAGGGTCAGGGTGCAGGTGGTACTCAGCTTACCTGAAATTGAGCATCAAGATGGAATGTGTGTCATAGTTTCTTCAGATAAGTGAGGGCTAAGGACCAAGATGCTAGCATGTTGATCAATTGTTTTGAATTTGAATTGGTTTAGGGATGATAAGGGATGAAATTATAACTCATTTGTGATCCCTTAAAAATTGGTGGGGTAATCAAGATATGAAGCTAATTTAAACTCTGCAAATTGTTGCCTAACAATTAGTTAGAACCTGAGAAATTTATTTACTCTAAAGCATTAAAAAAATAACCTCTAAAAGTCAATTGAATGAAAACATCAGGATGAAATTCAGGAAAGCCTGGGGGAAAATGCTGAAAAATACTGATAGTTGAAAGAATTTTAATGTCTCTTGATTACAATAATAAAGTGTGAAACTTCCTGTTGGAAACTAATATCCACATTTTTATTTTATTTTAAAATAAAAAAAAATATTTCCAAGTTGATAATAGAATCAACTCTGGGACAACTGGCTCTAATGAAGGATAAAACAATAGAGAATTGTTACTGATTAATAAATACTTTCTGATTAGTCACATCACATTATTTCCAATTATTTGATGGACAACTCCTTCTCTCATTTTGGATCAAAAATGATAATGTCCCAAAATCAGGGTTTCCATTTCCTGCATCAATCACAGTTTCTTTTGCCTCATTATATTTTCTCTACAATTCAGATTGGGCCTAAGTAGGATAATGTAGCATTTGGGGAAAAAAATACAACCCAAGAGGCCAGCCCCAGAGGCCAAGATGGAGAATATCTCCACAGCCACCATAGATTTCCCTTTGGAGCTTAGGTAGGTGGGGAGGAAGGTAACCCAAACACTGCAAAAGACCAGCATGCTGAAAGTAATGAACTTGGCTTCATTAAAGCTGTCAGGCAATTTCCTAGCCAGAAAGGCCACTGTGAAACTGACAAGGGCCAAGAAACCCAAGTAGGCAAGAACAGCATAAAACATTGAAGTTGAGCCTTCATTACATTCTAAAATGATCTCGCCAATCAATGAGTGGAAGTCCAAGTTGGGAAATGGAGGGGAGGCTGCTAGCCAGATGGTGCAAAAAACTGCTTGGACCAGGGGACATCCAAAGACAATGGAGTTGGTCAGTGGTTTTCCTAGGAATTTCCTTGTCTTGTTCCCTGGTTTGGTGGCCATGAAGGCCAGAACCACCATGACAGTTTTTGCTAATACAGAAGAAACTGCAAGGGAAAACAGAATGGCAAAGGCTGTTTGCCGTAAAAGACAAGTGAACTTTCCAGGTTGACTAATGAAGAGGAAGGAGCAGAGGAAGCAGAGCAGGAGGGAGACCAGGAGGATGTAGGTGAGATCTCGGTTGTTGGCCTTGACGATTGGTGTGTCGTGGTGTTTATGGAAAATCATCAGAACCACCAAACTGATCACACAGAGAGAAAGAGCTAAAGAAGCTAAAGTGTATCCCAGGGTATCTTGATAGGAAAGGAAGTGGAGCTTCTTGGCAATGCAATGGTCCTTGTCCTTGCAGGGGTATTGGTCTTCTGGACAAGGGTCACAGTGGGCTGCATCTAAAATCAAAAATCTTTGTCTAAGGTCACAGCAAGCAAATATTATTTTTAATGGAGATACAATCAAACCATGTGAAATTCAAAAGTGTACAAGACAAGGAAGAATAGAATAACAGAGTTGGAAAGGACCTTGGAGGTCTAACCCCTTGCTCAAGCTGGAGACCGGTTGCAGGAAATGGGCTTGGCTAGTCTAGTAAAGAGAAGGACCAGGGGAGACATGATAGCAGTCTTCCAATATTTGAAAGGCTGCCACAGGGAGGAAGGGGTCAAGCTATTTTCTAAAGCGCCTGTAGGCCAGACAAGGAATAATGGATGGAAACTGAACAAGGAGAGATTTTAACCTGGAAATAAGGAGAAATTTTCTGACAGTGAGAACAGTCAACCAATGGAACAGAAGTTGCCCTCAGAAGTTGTTGGAGCGCCCTCACTTGAGACCTTCAAGAAGAGATTGGACTGCCATTTGTCAGAAATGGTGTAGGGTCTCCTGCTTGGGTAGGGGGTTGGACTAGATTACCTACAAGGTCCCTTCCAACTCTGATTATCTGTTATCTGTTACCTTATACCATTTCAAACGAATGACTGTCCAGTCTCTTCTTAAAGACCTCCCGTGATGAAACACCTACAACCTTTGAAGGCAAGTCATCCCACTGATTAATTCTGTGTTTTATCTCTCTTGTTTTTTATATTAGCAGTGGAAATTTTGAATAGAGATATTAGACATGTAATATTTTGATAAATTTAATAAAATTATATTTAAAAAAGAAATTTTGTATAAGGATTTCAGGGGCTTCTGACATGAGTGTTATTATGTCCCCTTTTCTCTGTGGCAAACACACAAAGGAGATGATTGAATGATCCACTGTGTGTTTGAAAGTGAATCTCAATGGACAAATCATACTTCTTTCAGTGTGACCATAAAGATAAGGTCCAAGGTCCAATCTGGGTAGGTCACCAGGACCAGAGTTTTTGGCTTCAGAGCTTTTGGATTCATGCTGGAGACCATCTTCAGGGAACTCATCTCTATCTAGAGAGAAGTCCCCCAAAGGTGGGATCCAGCACGAGTCTTTTCTCTAGCTGGAGAGAAGTTCCCTGAAGATGGGCTCCAGCTACAAGTCCATTGTATAAAGTCCCCATCTGCAAAAGTCCTTATCTGCATAAAACATCCTCTCCATTCCCACACAAACCACTCTTACGCACTGAAATAAACACATACATAAACAAACACAGATACATTTCCTCTCCTTCAAGCAAAATATGAACAAACAAACAAACAAGGTCCAGATAAAGACATGCAGCAAGGAAAGAAAAAAAGAGGAGAGCATCTTTCTTATTTTTCTTCTTTTTTGTGTTTGCTAACTGTTTTTGTCCTACACCATTGCCTTTAAAATGGGAAGGTTGCCTTAGATTATCTGATGATGTGGTATAAAATAGTATAGGGTAGAGAGGTGCAAACCAGCCAAGGTCCAAGTTAACTTCAAAATTTGATAGCAAAAAATCTCATTCAAGATTTGATTTAAGGTTTAGCCATGGGCTACAATTGGGAAGCACTAAAATATCTCCAGCTGAACCTTTTTTGTTTGTTTGTTTGTCAGAAGGTGACCAAAAAATGTAGAACAAGCAATCTTAAGACTTGTGGACTTTAAGATATGTGGACTTCACCTCCCAGAATTCTCCAGCCAGCCATGCTTTTAGGGTTGAAGTCTACAAGTCTTAAACTTGCCAAGATTGGACATCCCTGATATAGAAGTCCAAAAGCTCAGAAGACTAAACCTCTGGCTCTGTGACTGACCCAGATTGGATCCTGCAACATTCTTCTGAAACACATATATTTGCCTTCATTCAATAGAGATAAGTTCTCCAGAGACAATAATTTGTTCAGTTCAGTCAATTTTCTGTGTGGAAAAGTAGACCTTCTCTAATCACTGAGCATGTCCAAGACTATAGTGGCTTTTAGGGTCAGAGAAATTGCCAACTCACCCACACCTACTTTATCCTGGAACCCCCAAAAGATGGATAGATCTGTTAGCAAGGAATCCTGCTGTTTGGTATATTATTTGTATATTATCTGTTGGACGGTGGTGAGAAGAGCAACAACAAGAGAGAGAAGGAATGTGAAGTGAGTGTTGTGAGAGGGAAAGTCTCTTTTCTTGTTCACAAGTGATTCACAGGGAAATTTACTACAGGTGGGAGAAAAGAAACAAAGATGCAGAGCCACCATAGCACCAAAATGTTCTACGGTCCAACCTGTCTACTATATACTTCAAATCTGCTCATTCAGAATTTTTCTTGCAGGAAAGAGATAGATGGCTCTCACATTTTTAATGAACAAGTTAATACCTCACTTTCCAGGGAACGTTTGATAGCTGGTTTTCCCAAAGGGTTGTGAGAGTGGAAAGTTATGTAGGAAAAATGTAAATTGGTGAGGAGAGGAAAAAGTTGCTCTTGTGGGCAGAACACTTTAGATTAGATCCATGGCTAAAAGTCTGTAGAGATTCTCAGCCATCCAGGTTATGGTTGTCCCAAAGGTGCTTTTTCAAGAGGCAACTGGACTTTCTGTTTTTTTCTTTGAAGACATTTCACTTCTCATCCAAGAAGGATGCAAATCTAAAAGGATGCAAATGACCAGTTGTCTGCAAGGAATATAAATCCTTCCATTCCCCAATCAGAGCTGAAGAAGTTTCTTGGATGAGAAGTGAAATGTCTTCAAAGAAAAATAAGAAAGTCCAGTTGTCTCTTAAGAAAAAATACTTTTGGGTCTTTAGATCCATTAACTGAGAGGATCTTCTGAAAATGATGAATATTTTAAACATGTCAAACCTATTAAAATGACAAAAATTAACATTTTTATCTACTGAATGGCTTCCTAGGTGCTGGAAATTCTCTATTTTAAGTATGCTCTACCTGTCTGATTAGAAATGGTTCCTTCTGGGCAAAGGGCACATCGGTAGCAGCAAACCTGCTGGCCCTCTGGAACTCTTCTCCTCTCTCCTGCCTGGCACCTTTTCATGCCACACCTGGCAAAGGGCACCTTCTAAAAGAGGAAAGAGAAATGCTTGACATGCCCTATGCAATGGACATACCTCATTTATTCCTTTCCATATTCTTATCTCCATATTCAGAACGTCTCCAAAAGAAATTGTTCATCAGGGTCTACCAGAAGCAGGAAAAGCTCTTGGGGGATTCAGGCCAATGGCACTCTCAACACACCACTGGATGCTGGAGATTGGAACTGGGATTTTTTGCAGTCCTATGTAGGTTTCGGTGATTGAGCTATAGCTTTTTTTAAGGAAAAAACCATGAGGATTCAACTGAATGAGAATGGTCCATGGAAATCTCTGTTGCTTGTTCTAACTGCCTCTTGAGTTGGCAGCAAATATTTTTCCCCCAGTCCAAACCCGTTGTGGACCTGCCACAAATCAGACCTCAAATGTGTCACATGCAAAACCTTGCATTTTCAGCAAATGCCTGCCACATTTTCTGGCTCAACTGACCATTTTTTCAAGCCCAACATATTTTTTTAAGTCCGAGGGATGAATGCATTTTACCCTGAAATTGTCAGCCACCTGAAGCCATTTTGGAGCATCTTCAGGGCTGCCACAGCAAGGCTGGTTGAAGCTGTCGGAATGGGAGTGGGGAAGTAGAGAGCTGGGGGATGTGTAGCCAAAATAAAATTCTTTCTCTTGGGAACCAAGTTTTCTGACCTAGGCTTCCACAAAAGCACAAAGCCAACTCCTCATTCCAATAAACCCTTTTTCTATAGTTTACAGTGAATTCCTCTCCAGCAAAGTCCTGGCCAACAGTCTTTCAAGATATTTCACAATTACAGACCTTTATCAGGCTTGGAGAGTTGCCAGGCCAATATCTTTCAGATGCCACACTGTAGCAGACAATACTTGGCAAGAATGCAGGAACAGATCTTCACCCAAATGAACTAATTGTCTCCTGCAAAACTCATTCCCCTTTTGCTCCTCTTTTATTCTCTATGGGAGTAGGGAATAAAAGGGCACTGTCCACCTGTTCCCTTACTCCCAAGTTGACACTTGTTCCTTAGCTTTTCCTTTCTTCTGGCAGCTCTGTGCATGTGCACACTGGGAACAGGCTCCAGCTGTTCTTCTGCCCCAGTGATCTACAACTATGAAGGCATCTGATAACTGTCAGACAGCCCCATCTCTGCCTCTGACACAGACCACTCATCAGAGCCTTCCCCAGGTTCCAGGATTGGCTCATGTTCCTCCCCAACCTCTTCACTGTCCGAGTCTGCTACCAGCTCTGCTGGCCACTGGCGGGCCTCAACACCAAGGACCTTCTCACCAGATGCTGGGAAGGCATGGACTGAGGCCACTTGGAATTGGGACTGTGACCTGATTGGACCATGTGATGGACATGTGGACTTGAGGCAAGAACTTTGTAGTTTGATTTGGGTGGGGAATACCTCGGGTCTTTCAAAGTTGAATTTTCCCAACTGTGCCAATATGACATTCCTAATAAATTCATCCTGTGAGGAAACCCCAGGCCTCAGAATTTTGATTGTGTTGGGTTTGTTATTTGGAACCCTGACAGAATTATAACCTTGCCTTTCAACTCACCTTTTTTGCCCAGACAATTGCACCAGAGTTAATCGTGAAGTCCTGACCAGGAGGAGTTCCGTGATCTATTTGTCCAACTTTCATGGGGATAAAAGATTGATTAAGGAAGAAAATCCAGTTGAATAGGTCATGTTGAGCAGATCCTAGTCCATTTTCAGACAAGGAGATTTTATCTCCAGCACTGTTGTTGAACTGGACATTTCTCAAATAGGGAAGAAGCTGAAAGAAAAAGAGATCTCCAAACATTGATGTAAAATAGGATGAAGGCATACAGAAGAAAAGGTGGGGGGGGGGAGGGAATCTCCCCTTTCTCGCCCAGCAACCAGTCATAAAGTAGATTGCCTCATGCAGAAGCCCATACTCTCCAACCTATCAACTACAACTGTGTGAACCAGCCTATTATACACTTTATGGTTTGGGCTATTATATTTGATATCTTAAGAGGGAGCAGTTCAGTTGAATAGAAAGATGGAAAGCCATACGTATATACAGTGCATGCCTATACAAAAGTCAGACCCTTTGGATAATGTATTACATCAGTTATAATTTATATACATCTGACTTTTGTTATAAATGTAACAGTTTTACATGAAGGATACCTACAGACAAAGTTTTCATGCCACATTATATAATTCATTCTATGGTTTCCCTCCAGATATACTTGGCTATATACATTTTTAAATGCTTTACTTTGGTTCAAGATCTTCAGAATCAGAATAGAGCCGGGAGGGACCTTGGAGGTCTTCTAGTCCAACCCCCTGCCCAGGCAGGTGATCCTATACCATTTCAGACAAGTGACTGTCTAGTCTCTTCTTAAAAACCTCCAGTGATGAAGCATCCACAACTTCTGGCGGCAAGCAGTTCCACTAGTTAATTGTCCTCACTGCTAGGAAGTTTCTCCTTAATTCCAGGTTGCTTCTTTCCTTGATTACTTTCCAACCATTGTTCTTGTCTTGCCTTCTGATGCTTTGGAAAATAACCTCCTCTTTGTGGCAGCCACTCAAATACTGGAATATTGCTATAATGTCACCCCTAGTCCTTCTTTTCTCTAGACTGGCCATACCCAATTCCTTCAACCATTCTTCATATGTTCTTGTCTCTAGGCTTTTAATCATCTTAGTTGTTCTTCCTTGCAATTTTTCAAAAGTCTCAAGATCTTTTTTTTTTTTTTACTGTGGTGACCAAAACTGGATGCAGTATTTCAGGTGTGGTCTTACTAAGGCTTTATAAATGTCTTGCAAATGCAAATGACAATTGCATTTTAGGAATGATTAAATAGTTTCTGTCATAATGCAATTGCACAATGCCATCACATTGGTTTCTCTAGCTAATAGTAAAAGACAGCAAAATGTGAGGTTGGGCCATGTGGAAAGAAACAGCTGCCCTAAATTGTCATTTTATTGCCCCAGAGGTCCAACATTCAGCCTTTGATCTGGAAAGACTGATGAATTTCAGACTATGATCCCATTAGGGCTACTTTGACTCCAGCTCTGTGTGGTGAGGTTGACAGAGGCTGTCTTCACACAACAAGCTGAGAGGTGCAACAAATGGCAAGCCGAACAAATGGGGTGGGGTCATACAGGACCCTAAGTCATAGAAATATAAACCAAGGTTAAGAGAGATTGAGTTGAGTGTCTTTCTACAAATTGTGTTTAGGCTATATACAGAGAAAAAGTGAAGTGGATTTGCAAATATCCTCGCTAGGACTTCAACTGACCTTTTTAACAATTTTGCACAAATCCACCCAGATTGTCGTCTTGCTCTGTGTTGCATCTCCTCCCTTGAATGGCCATCCCATGAAATTCAGACAAGCTCTAAATACCTTTCAGGAGTTTAAGCGAAGGTCTTCTATGGATCTTATGGAGAATTATTTTGATTTACCTTTTCCCAATTCTACCCCTTTACAAATTATACCTAATTCATATTATTGTTTTCTTTGTAGTAATTGCTGTTTAATCTACAGAATCAGAATAGAACTGGAAGGGACCTTGGAGGCCTTCTAGTCCAACCCCATGCTCAAGCAGAAGATCCTCTATCATTTCAAACAAGGACCTGTCCAGTGATGGAGCACCCACAACTTCTAGAGGCAAGCTGTTCCACTGGTTAATAGACTTCACTGATAGAAAGTTTCTACTTAATTCCGTGATCCATTTTTTGTTGTTGTTGTTGTTGTTGCATTGCCTTCTGGTGCTTTAGAAAATAAGTTGATCCCCCTCTTCTTTGTGGTAGCCCCTCAAATCGTAGAATATCATGTCAACCCTAGTCCTGCTTAATAATATAAACAACATAAACCAGCAATAGAAGGTAACCCATCCAATGTCTTAAACTTTAAAAGAACTGATTTTAACAAAGTTGGAGAGCGTCTAAGAAAAAAAGGCATGGTCTGATCAGAAGTCCATTGATATAGAGATATTTAATCCATAATTCAAGAAATAATTGGGGGAATATAGATAAACTTCTCTAAGGATCTGTGGACTGAATAAAAAGTTCCAGAGGTTACCTTCCATGATTGCACATTTGAGATCCTCTTTCCAGCCCTCAGCATGGTTGGTCGTGCCCCTGCTTCATACATTGCATGTAATGCATGTGCCAGAGCATAAATGGCATTGTAGACATTGTAACTGTCACCTGTCATGCTCGTCTCAAACATAAAAGCTGGCAAATTCTGTAAATTCTCCTTTCCTGTGCATGTTTTGTCTTCCCCTTTAGAGATGTTGCCATGTTTGTAGAACTTGCAGTCAAAGACCCTTTCCCACCATTGCAGAAGAAAGATATCTCCCTCTGAATTCAAAGGATCTAAAGACAAGAGGAAATGGCTGAATTCTGGGACATTTCCGGTATGGTCCCTAAAATGTAAAGCCCCATGGAAGGGCTTCATATATTCCAGGGTATCTAGTGATCCCATCCCACTAAGTTCACAATGGGAAGTTATTATCCAGACTTTGCCATACGATGTTTTTATCCATTGTTCATAAGAAAACAGAGCTCCTTGTAAAGTTGCAATCGTTCTGTAGTCTACAAAGAGGACAATCACTTCAACTTTAAAGGAAGATTTTAAAAGCCAAAGGAATCTGAGCATTGTATTTGTAAGGACCTCCGATTTCAACATTTTAGTAAAGGCCAGGCAAATCTCCTTCTCCTTCAGCATTGGTGTCAGAGTTGAGACAAAGCGTTCTCCAATGTCATCTTTAGAGACCACGAGCCCAAGCCAGTTCCACTGGAAATACAGGAGCAGCTGGACTAAACCCACATACTGAGGAGATTCCTTGGGGTTGATCCGGAAGAAGGAAGGATAAACTCTTCTCTCTTCCAGAGAGAACTCAAAGCCAACACCGAGCTGGAGAAAGTGAGATTCTTCTTTCAAAGGCAAAGTAAAGTTTGATGGTGACTTTAGGGATCACCATTGTGTGGTTTATTGCCCCACCAGTAAGGCTGACTTGCTTTGATTGGCAAAACTAAGTTCTTCCCTTCTAAGGAAGTTCCACCAGTTACATAGTTTGTATGATTTCTCAAGGGAACAAACCATCAACCAGATTTAAATAATCTACTGCACTGAAAAGGTGGTTGTGTTTTTATAAAGAATACATGAAGAAGGAATTATCTTGATAAGTTCAACATATAGGAAATATCTCATTATTTATCTCTTTGAGGGTTATTTAAAAACTCTAATCTTGACACATAAATATCTAAAAATGAATTCAACTTCAGGATGGATTATTAGGACTGCAGAAAAAATGAATACTATCAACCAGCCTTCCGTTGAAGACCTGTATACTGCATGAGTCAAAAAGAGGGCTGTGAAAATATTTACAGATCCCTCACATCCCAGACATAAACTGTTTCAATTCCTACCCTCAAAACGATGCTATGGAACACTGCACACTGGAACAACTAAACACAAGGACAGTTTTTTTCCTGAATGCTATCACTCTAAATAATTCCTCAACACTGTCAAACTGTTTACTAAGTCTGCATTACCATTCCTATTAATCTTCCCATCCTTCCTTTCACCCATCTCCTTCCACTTATGACTGTAACTTTGTGGCCTGTATCCTTACTATCTATATTGACTGTTTCCTAGTATGATTTGATTGCTTATTTGTACCCTATGACCATCATTAAGTGATGTACCTGATGATTCTTGATGAATGTATCTTTTCTTTTTATGTATACTAAAAGCATATACACCAAGACAAATTCCTTCCATGTCTAATCACATTGGCTAATAATTCATTCATTCATTCATTCATTCATTCATTCATTCATTCATTCATTCATTCATTCATTCATTCATTCATTTCTTCCCTCATCCATCCATCCATCCATCCATCCATTCATCTATCTATGTGATAAACCTTCTCCCCCAACCACCCCCAAAACAATGTTGGTTTCATTGTTGACTTCTGTCTGTGCTTCTGTTGTTTCTCTATTCCATACTGCATTCCCTTACCTGTGGGACCTTGAAGATGCTGAAAATGGAGGCCATCTGCCTTGAGGATTTGGAATTGAGACCCCCAATGACAGAGAGCAGAGGGTCCTGCCTGTCACATTGATAACCTGGGACAGTTTGGCCTCTTGTGGAGAGCAGAGAAAGGCTGATTAAGGAAATCTCCCTCTCAATCTGGTGATTGTCATAGATGTGGAAGCCAAGGGTGATGTTGGGGAGAAGAAGATCCTTGTTGATCTCTCTGACTGCAAACATCAAGGCCTGGAACTGCTGGTACTTCATGGGTATGAGGCTATAGTAACAGCAATAGCAATAGCACTTAGACTTAAATACCACTTCACAATCAGCCTTCACTAAACAGTTTACAGAGTGAGCCTATTGCTCTCCACAATCTGGGTCTTCATTTTACCAATGTCAGAAAGAATTGAAGCCTGAGACAACCTTCAGCATGTCAGGATCAAACTCCTGGTCCTGGGTAGAGTAGCCTCCAATACTGCATTCTAACCAATGTGCCACTATTCAGGAAAGCTGGTGTCTGTTGGAGATTACCTTGCCTTTGGTGTTGTGCTTTGGAGCAGTAAATGCCAGATTTCATTGGGTGTTTTTTTTTAAAGCATGTTTCTGGATGAAACTTGGATGGCTTTGTGAGAAAGGAGAAAAACCTGTCTGTCCAAATCAAGAACTACTCTCCTTCCCCCCCCCCCCATTTTGCTCCAATGTCTGAAATCCTTACCAATTGCTCCTCTGCTACCTTATGTCAACTTTGGAAGCCATTTTTGTTTTCAGGGTTCCGGCCTGCCACATTCAGTGCCTGGGAATTTGGGAGGGAGGATTTCAAGGAACAGTGGAAGATTAGCCACAACATCATTCCTTTCTTGGAGAGTCAAGGACAGTTCGCTCTGCACCTGGAAGGGAGTGACTGAGGGATGTCTCCAGTTGCCGCAAAGACATGATTGGGCCATGTGATGGATGGTTGGGTGCAGGGTCTGGATCTTGGCTTTCTTTGGGTGGGGGAAAACCCGGAACTCTCAGATTTGGGTTTTCCCCAGATGTGCCAATATGACTTCTCCAATAAAATGGGTTTTTATGAATGTGATAGTCTCAGAGTCTTTTACTTTGGAGGATGTTACTTGGAATGCTGAAACCTTAATCAATTTAGTTGTCTCTTGGAGCAGGTCTATTTAACATTGCTAATTATTGTAGGGTCACAGCATTGATTTACTGAAGGTCCCTATGAATAAGCACAGCTAATTCCAAAACTGATTTAAAAACCAAACCAAACCATGAACTACTCCTGGAACAGAATTGGAGTTTTCAACCATGACTTTTTCCAAATTAAAAACAAGACACATTCTTCAGTAGCCAGATCAGTTTCTAAGATATGGTCCCTGCTCATCTGTATGTTGTTTGTTGCCTTCCTGATGAAGGTTTAGGATTCTAGTCAATTTATAAGCTTGGTTCTTTATTGGGGAAAAGCACAAAGATTTGAATTACACCAGGACATTGCAAACATCACTAGAAGAAGCATTTCTGAACATGGTCCCTGAATCCAAAACAAAGCAAACAATCATTTACATCTTTTCCCTCCAGGCAGAACTTACAACAGTGAGATAGGAGGCAGGGATGGGTCATTTTTAAAGTCTGGGAGGTTAGAGGAAATAATTGTTTTCAGGAGCAAGTTCCCACCAATAATGAGATCACCAGGCTTGTAATAGGCTTTTGGAATCCGGAAAGGGTTTTTCATCGCACATACGGTTTGCATCCTCTTAGCAGTAGTTGGAGGCAGGAGCCAGAAGTGCAGCAAAAGGAGAGGCATCCTGTTCATTCTTGTCACCTTCTCTCCTAGATCAGAAATCAAGGTTTGTGCAGAAGCTAAATTGCAAGTAGCACTTGAATTCTCATCAGAGATTTAGCACAATGGAGACTGGCCATGCCACCTGGTTGGCCTCAGTGCAAATTGGTATCAACCATGCTTCCTCTTACCTGTGTTTGGGCTGTGACCTAACAGACAAACTCTTAGCTCTTTGCAAGACAAGGTGACATGGCCTATTCCCACCTGAAGAATTCAGAGCAGGGTTTTTAAAGCATGTTTTATCTTGGATAATGTATTTGGAATAGAAATCCATAGGGGATACTTCAGCAATGACCGTACTTGTGATAATTGAGATGAAAAACAATTGTGCTGCCCAATGAGAAATAGATGTTGTTTGCACATCAAATAGAGAAAAACATGTTTGTATCTCTTGTTGTTAATCCACAGACCAGATGGAGTTGAGAGTCAAAGTAAAGTTGAGTATTTGACCTCTGATCTCAATACAGAAGATGGAGTTTGACTTTCACTATAGTGTTTTTTTTTAGATATTATGATGTGCCATGGTGGCACCTGTGATCCAAACATTGCAAAAGACCAGCGAGCTGAAAGTAATGAATCTGGCTTCATTGAAGCTGTTGGGAAATTTCCTAGCCAAAAAGGCAACTGAGAAACTGATGAGGGCTAGGAAACCCAGGTAGGCAAGTACAGCATAAAACATTGAAGTTGAGCCTTCCTTGCATTCTAAAATGGTCTCTTCTACCAAAGAGTAGAAATCCATGTTGAGAAATGGGGGAGAGGTTACCAGCCAGGTGGCACAGTGCTGTTTGGAACAGGTTGGAACAATGGAGTTGGTCAGTGGTTTTCCTAAGAGTTTCCTCATCCTGTTCCCTGGTTGGGTAGCCATGAAGGCCAGAACCACCATAACAGTTTTTACCAAGACAGAGGAAATTGCAAGGGAAAAAGAATGGCAAAGGTAGTTTGTTGAAAGAGACAGGTGATCTTCCCTGGTTGACCAATAAAGAGGAAGGAGCAGAGGAAGCAAAGCAGGAGGGAGACCAGGAGGATGTAGGTGAGATCTCAGTTGTTGGCCTTGACAATTGGTGTGTCACGATACTTTAAAAAAATTATCAAGACTGTAGATGTGATCACAGAAAGAAAAAGAGCAAGAAAAGCTAAAGTGTATCCCAGGGTGTTTTGATAGGAAAGGAAGTGGATCTTCTTGGCAATGCAGTGGTCCTTGTTCTTGTTAGGATATTGGTCTTCTGGGCAGGGTTCACAGTGAGCTGCATCTAAAATCAAAATAAAGTGATAAGATGAAAGTTTTGTAAACTTTGTCTAAGGATTTTAGGAGCAATTGCCATGCATACAATCCCTCCTTCAAGGGAAATATGAGTGTCCCACTGAGTACTGATGGAATACCACTAAAAGTAATACCACTAATGCAATCCTTGGTTGTATAAACAGAGGCATTGAATCAAAAACACATATTAATACTGCTTTATAAAGCCTTAGTAAGGCCACACCTAGAATACTGTGTTCAGTTTGGGTCACTATATTACGAAAAAGATGTTGAGAGTTTGATACCCCTGGCTTAAATTTATTAACTGAAAGCTTCTCCTGAAAAGCATAAATAGTTTGAGGCATTTCCGTTGTACCCAAAGTGACAAAAATGAGCTTTTGATCTACTAAGTGGCTTACTCAATCCTGGAAGATCTAACCATTGATAGAATAGATCCCAAATTTTATAAAATTGTTTATCCTCTTGTTCTCTAATTTCAAATGTCAATCTACTCATTTCAGCACATTCCAATATTTTCTTAATGATTTCCTCCTGTGATGGTGTTTTGTCATTTTTCCAGTTTTTGGCAAATACAATCCTAGCCACTGTTAATGCATTTACAATCAGATATTTCAAGTCTTTACTATATATTTCAGGTAAAATTCCCAATAAAAATGTCTCTGGTTTCAAGTCTATATGTTTTTTTGTCATTTTTTCCAACCACATGTGGATTTTAGTCCAGTATTTTTTAGCTTCCGCACAAGTCCACCACATATGGTAATATGAGCCAGGTGTCTGATGACATTGCCAACATTTTTCAGATTTATTTTTGAACATTCTTGCTATTCTTGTTGGGGAAAGTGCCACCTGTAAAACATCTTATACAAATTTTCTTTATAAGCTGTTGACATTGTCATTTTATAATTTTGAGACCACAATTTTTGCCATTTCTCTAGATCAATCCCATATCCAAAATTCTTCCCCCAAGCAGTCATAGTTTCTTTAACTTGTTCTTCTTCTAGTTTAATTTCTAATAAATATCCATACAATTTTTTAATCACCTTTTCATCAGTACCTGTCAAAATCTTATCTAAATCAGTCAGTTTATCATAGAAACCTTCTGTTTTAGAATCTTTATCATATCTTGAATGTATTTGCACATATGAAAACCAATTCATCTTTATACCTTGTTCCTCTAGTTTTTGTATAGATTTAAGTTCACCCTTTTCATTCAATATTTCACCATATCTAACTGTTTGTTCCTTTTTGTATATTATAGGATAAGAAAATGCTTCAATAGTCAATAGCCAGACTGGAATTTTCAAATAACATTTTCTTTTAATCTTCTCCAGTTTAACCACAGAGACGCCCGTATATAATGTCTTCTAAAGTACCCCTGTGTTTTAGTTCCTTTATACCATAGAAAAGCATGCCACCCCAACAACAGATCATGTCCTTCTAATGTTCAACAATCTAGTATTTCTTAATGTTATCCATTCCTTAACCCACATCAAATTTGTAGCTTGGTAATACAACTCCCAATTAGGCAAACCGAATCCTCCTCTAATTCTAGCATCTTGCAAAAGTTTTAATTTTATTCTCACTTTCTTACCTTGCCATATATATTTCAACACAATTTTATTTAAATCTTCAAAATAGTCTTTTCCAAGCCTAATTGGAATTGTTTGAAACAAATATAAAATTATGGGTAATATATTCATCTTGATTATTGATATTCTCCCTATTAATGAAGTTGTAAATTTTCCCATTTTGCCAAATCTAGCGCTGTCTGCTGTTTAAGTTTGATATAATTATTCTCTTTTAGTGTACTGCATCTTGCTGTCAAGTATATCCCTAAGTACTTGATCTTATTCGTGACCTGAATTTTCAATAGGTCTGCCAGTTCTTCCTTTTGTCTTGATATCGTATTCTTTGTCAAGATCTTTGTCTTATCTTTATTTATTTTCAAACCAGCCACCTTTCCATATGTCTCTATCTTTTCTATCAATTTTGATGCTGTTTCTAGTGGGTCTTCTAAGATAAAAACCAGATCATCTGCAAATGCTTGCAACTTAAATTCTTCTTTTTTAATTTTCATCCCTTTTATATTATTTTCATCTCTAATATTTCTAACACTTCCAAAGTTAACACAAACAACAGAGGTGATAGTGGGCACCCTTGTCTTGTTCCTTTTCTTATATCAATAGAGTCTGTCAGTTCTCCCTCTATCATTACCTTTGCTGTTTGCTTATGATATATAGCTTCTATTGCTTGAATAAATTTTCTAGCAAAGCCCATCTGTTGCAGCAGTAACAACTTGAATCACCAATTCACATCATCAAATGCCTTCTGTGCATCTAGAAATATCAAAGCCATTTGTTTTTCAGGATGTGTCCCGTAGTATTCCGAAGTGTCCAAGATTCCTCTCATATTGCCTTTAATTTGTCTCTTTGGCAGAAATCCATTTTGAACAGGATGGATAAAATTATTTAAGTATTTTTTAAGTCTTTCTGCCAATATTGAAGCAAAAATTTTATAATCTGCGTTTAGTAGGGAAATAGGTCTATAGTTCTTGATTTGTAATGGATCGGCCTCCTCTTTTGGAACAAGTGTAATATAGGCTTCTGATCATGATTTAAGTATCCTCTTCTTTAACATAACTTCATTCATAAGGTTTAGCAATGGAAGATTCAATGATTCTTGTAATGTTTGGTAAAATTCTGCCGGAAGTCCATCTGGGCCTGGTGCCTTTCCATTATTTTGTTTCTTAAGTGCTTCAGTTAACTCCATCATCATTATATTGCTTTCTAATATTGTTTCAATCTCTTTAGGTATCTGGGGTAACTTCTGTAGGTACTGTTTGACTCTTTCCTCATCAATATTCTCTTGCTTATATAGTTGCCCATAGAAGTCTCGAATAATTTCCTTTTTCTCCTTATTACCATAACAAACTTGGCCTTGATCATCTATTAATTGCAATATTTTCCTTGATTCTTTCTCCTTTCTCAATTTATATGCTAACCATCTACCTGGTTTATTTGCATCTTCGAAGTAATTCTGTTTAGCACCTCTAATTTTCTGTGCTAATTCTTCTTTTTCTATTAGACCCATTTTATGTTTGGTTATATCCATTTTTAACTTAATGTCCTTTTTCTGTGGCATTTTCTGTAGCTCTTTTTCAAGTCCTTTATACACATCCTCTAATGCCTTAGAGGCTAATCTTTTCATGGTATTTCTTTTCCTTGTATAGTCTATTATCAAGCCTCTGGCATATGCCTTCATTGTATCCCATACATTCTGGATGGATGCGTCTTCTTTTTTGTTTTCTCTAAAGAAAAAAGCCAATTCTTTCTCCATCCACTGTGTGAAGTCTTTTTCCTTTAAAATAGTATTATTTAGCATCCATCTAGATCTTCTTCTTTGTCCTTTCCATTTAATTGTCATTGGATTGTGATCTGCCCAAGTACTTGTTTCAATATTTATTTCTTGAATATTAGTTAACAATTCTGTTGATATACATATCATATCTATTCTGGACCATGATAAGTGTTTATTTGGGTAGAAGGTATATTGTTTAGTTTTAGCATTTCTTTCTCTCCATGTATCTTTTAAGTTTATTTCATCTACCATATTAAAAAAAGATTTAGGGAGAGTCTTTCTGTTTTTCTTCATTGTTTTCTGTGTGGTATAGTCCAGTTTGTTGTCTACAATTCCATTAAAATCTCCCATCAAAACTATATTAGCATAGTCCAGTTCAATTATTTTGATATGTAATTTTTTAAATAAAATTCTTCTTCTTTTTCATTCAGGGAATAGATTGCAATCAGGAGTGTTTTTGTATTATTATCCATTAGTTCCATGATTAGTATTCTTCCGTCGTCATCAGTATAAATCAATTTTGCTGGAATGGTCTCTTTAATATATAAAACCACTCCTCTTTTCTTGCATTGTGTCAAAGAGGTAA